TTTTTTTTCATTGACCGAAATATTTTAGGTTGATAATTGATTCTATTTTTCTGTTATTTGGCAACAGTTTTGGCCTAATCCTTTTTATTATTAATTTAACATCAACCACTCGACCGTGCACGCACAGCCGGATTCAATTCTATCTCCAATTATGCGTAAAAAATTAGTTTTTAATAACAACATAATTGTACCTAATTTTATCCATAACTAATTGCACCATTGTAGCATTTATTGACTTAATTACAAGCATATGAAAATTGTTTATGTAATGTTTTTTTGCACGAATTTGTTCATTGGCTATTAAATTAATTATTTCATATAGGGTTGCATTTAACAAAAGGAGGAAAAATACTGAAACTTGAATAAACCTAAATTTAGCATTCAAATATCTTGTAAATATATATCCAGTAGTAATGCAAAACATTAAAATAAATTGTTTCACCCAAACATCAATCCCGACATGCCATAGAATTTGATAGGTAAAATTGATTTTACTCCTACATGATCAAATTAATTTTCCTCTAACAAGCTCGAGTAAGCCTTTTCAGCCGCTGGCAACTTTTCATGAGCTTCAAGCAACATTCTTCGAGTCTACATGTAGATGCAAAAAAGTAAGAAAATTTTTAAATGGAATATTACTTCTTGAAGCACCAAGTCGATGAATCACCAGAAATCGCAAATTTAGTTTATAATCGAGTTAAAATTTGCATATATATTTTCGAACCACTATTATTTAATTTTAGACAAATTAATAAAAAATTTGCTTACATATACTAAAATCAACAGATTTTTAGGTTTGTTAAACCGATTGTTGCGTCATTAAGCCCATTGATGCGTCCACTGCTCAATGTGCAAATTTTGCACCAACTGTAATTATTTTATTATTGTTATTATTATTATATACAAAACAAATTTATTTGATTTTGAAAAAAAAAATCTACACTATTGTATAGAATTAAAAATTATTCAATTTTACGTTACAAAAATTGCATGATGAAAAAAGAAAAGAGAAAATCATAAAAATAACAGAAACTACAAATTATATCCTTTTTGTTGTTCTTAAAATGATTAATTTATGATAGATACTGATTGGTCGGAAAAAGTGTGTGTTTTATATATTTATTAACGTATTTTATATGCTTGATTTTATCGCACTTATATATTTTCTGACTTATATATTTATTAGATGGATTTTTGTACTTTGATATTTTTATGGTTTATTTTTAGAATATTAAAGCATTTTTATTAGCGGCTATAGAATTTAATAAAGAGAGACCCGAAATCAGACTTTCATGTCATCAAGCCAAATATTTGTTAATTGAGCCTAATTTGGGCTATTAACTTAATTATTGAGGAAAAGGGATACAGCCACCAGGATTGTTTTAATTTGGGAAATAACCACCCATCATCCAGAGGATTTATAAAAAGGGACTCACGCATATACTTGGAGGAGGATTTTTTTTGGAGCCGCCAGATATACGCAGAGAAAAAGAAAGCCACAGCCGCTGGGAGAAAGAATAAAAAGAAGAAAACCGCACGGACAGAGGAGAAACTCGATCAATCGCGGAGGGAGGCCGCAACCGCACACGAGGGAGATAATTAATCTCTCTCTTTTATCTTTTTATTTTTATTTATTATGTTAGAGTAGTTTTATTTCTAGTTTCGGGGATGTCGAACCCTACGACTTGATGATGTTTGATTAATTTATGGTTGATTATTTAATTATCTTTTTGGAATTGCTTGTGTTATTTTGAATAATTAACCATGATGTGTTGAGTTTGATTTAGATTGATCACCTAGATTAGGCTTTACATATCTACACCTGAATTAGGCCTTCAATCCGTAATTGTTGATGTGTTTAATTCGCAAGTGGTATCCGGAAGATGGTAACTACCGGGGATAACACGGCCTATTTAAGTGAACGAACGCGTCACTACTTAGTCTAGCCTATTTTTCTAATGCGTAAAGCGGCTGATTGTATTAAATCTAAGAAGCGTTTTCTAGACTGTACAAGAAGTCAGGTCTAATCGTAGAGCGTCTCGCGGTTAGATTAAAAATAAGGAAAATTTCGGGTAACAGACCGTGTCGTTGCCTAGGGCTAGTAATTTCATAAGATAGCGAGATTTGATGCCAGAATTGATTAGACGAGTCAGTCGAGGGTGTAGACGGAACCGTAAACTAGAAATTTCTCTTATTTATTTTATATTTATTTTTATTTCCTTTCTTTATATTTTTTGTATTTTTAGTTAGTTTAATTATCAAAACCCAATCCCCCCATTTACTGCTTTTATAAATTCAATTAATACGAGAAAATTCGCAATTTGATTCACACTCCCTGTGGGTTCGACCCTTGCTCACTACTGCTACTAGTTAGTAGAGGTTAGTTAAGGAAAATATAAATTATAATTTTGCCGCGTTGCGACGCGCGGTCAGATACATAAATCACTTATGACATTTTTGTTCAACAATGCAAAAAATTGACTTGCAGGAACATCTGTCGAGGTTTTCTCCAAAAACATAAATGCATTTGTGATGACATTTTCAAGACACTCAACCGTTCGCCTCTGCAACAGCCTCATCAGCACCTGCACAACTGGTGCAAGTAA